GTCACTTTCATGTTGTATTACCAGAAAACGTTGAAGATGACGATGGTATAGATGAAATTTTGATTGAAGAGGTCAGAAACAACGGAATTCTCTGGAATACATCGTTACGTGATTACAAAGATATTGCGAAAAAATCGCAGGCTTGGGTTGAAATTGCTTCTCGTTTGAACCGAAATAGTAAGTTTTGTTGATTGAGTATGTTAATTGGTTCACTAGGTTTGTACTACCTTTTGCTCAGATTGTTGTTATACTTGTAAAAGACGAAAAAATTCTTTATAAACGCTGAACAGTGAACCAGGGGCGGATCTAGGATTTTTCAAACATCAGTCATAAAACGTCGAAGGCGCTTCGCACCAGGGGGGGTCTGAGGCATTCTCCCCTGAGAAATTTTGAATTTCAGAGCCTTGAAAATGCCATTTTCAGCGTTTTAGAGCAATACAAAATGTGGGTGGGCATCGTTTTGCGTAAAACAACACATTTTGCTTACGTTTTTCAAAAAAAAAATGAAGTGAACAATACTTGAATGTTTTGCCAAATATTTAGGCTCATTATCATGCCAAATATATGGCTCATTAGCATGTCTAGGAACGTAAAATTTATTTTACAATAATGCTATTCAAAAACAGATATAGTCTTTAAAATTTCTACCAAGTTGTCAGGCATAGACCCCTAGAGACCCCATTCAAACCTCTATGTAATGAGTTTAGTTAAGTTAGAAATTTGGTACTACAAGTGACAGTTCATAGATATAGAAAAGCTCAGACTTCAAACCATGCAAGTTTATTGTAACCTTTACCCATCTCCACATCAGTGCCAGCAAATTCACCTTTGAGAAAAACTCAAAATTTTTTTCTGCCAAAGATTAAGCAAAAATTATCAGAGTGAAAATTTGCAGTTAAGGACAGCTTAATGCCATAAATGTTTATTAGGCATTTCACTAGACTATTATCTCCTGTAAGTATATGCAAGGTGTGCTATATAGCAATCACTAGTAGCATTGTATTTGCAAATACAAACAGAATGTAACCAACATGTCTTTGATTATATAATTACATGAATGTTAAAATTGGTTCATGTGTCATGCTTACTGGTTATGATAAATATCTTTTCATATGATCAAAGCTTGTTTAAATCTAAATCGGAAATAATTTAGCTTAGAAATTATAATGATCATCAGAAAAATTACCTAGTGATCATGAAAAATACTTTGCTGTTTTACCAAATTTCAAGGTTTATCTGCATACATAGAAAGACATTTTACTTTATAGAAAATGCTTTTCATACATCAATAGCCCTTTGGAATTTATGGCAAACAATCTGGTATGAGCCGTAGATTAACTCACCTTTACATCTCTACATGAGGTGTTCAGTTAGAAAAGGGGACAATATGTGACATGGGACAACAATCCATGTATGTGAAATACTCAGGTTTAATACCATTCCAGTCAAATTGTCAAAATAAAAAGCTTCATGGATCAGAAGACTCAAAATCACAGGTTATAGTAAACAGCTTCTCATGTAATCAATGTTAGTTTTCTCAAATCTTAAACAATATGTAGTATAACTGTCCAAGGATTGAATGATCAATGATCATAAACTGAAAAACCCCAAACATTTGTTTATGATAAAGTAAATAATAGTATGGCTACAGATTTTTTGTCCATTGAAATATATTTGCAGGAATGTAGGATTTCGCTGCCGTATAACGGCCACGGTTCCCCAAGCACTAAAGAAATCATAGCTAAAAGTCCTTCGTCAACAACAATTTTAGAAGCATCGATCTGCTTACCATACGCCATATTCACATAAATTGCATCACACACTCGCATAATTGACTTTGATATATTACATTCATGCATACACTTCACTTGTCCTTTACTTACGATTTTGGATGTAAATTTCTGCTGATAAAACTCAAAACAATGTTGGTTTTCTTTTGAACATCAATGTCTGAAATGTCGCTCGCGAGATCGTCTTTGCCAAGCATTTACAATTCCATCCATAAATTTTTCGCCCTCTTGAAAAATTTCACAGTTTGGACAGCAGCATTCATGTCAATATATGAATTTGTAAAAAGATTTCCATAAATTCCATCTGATTGTAGTTTAGTTTCTATCATGCTTATAAAAATTACTATAAAACGATCAAACATTCAATTCAGACAGTGAGCTTGACTATGTTAGTTCAGTTGGCTATCAGTCGAAATCCGTCAAACCAATCACAATAAAGCAAAAATTCAAATGAACCAATTGTAAGATAGCAATTGGACTCCCTTATACGTCCGGCTACCCTTATTATCAGTCGAGACCATTCCAGACTGTCCACTGATCTGGCTATTGACCAATAAAATAAGCGTTTTTGACGTTTATAGACTCCTTTATCCGTCGAACCAGTCAAGCCACCCCGCTTATCAGTCGGTTATTCCAGGTCAATTAAAATTCAACTGATCTGGTTACCAACGAGATATTCATTGGATTAGTCATTAGTTTTCAATAATAAATAATGCGGGATTTTTATCATGAAGTAAATGCGATAAGAAAATAAGAATAATTAATGAATTTTTAATTAATATGAATAGGTAATTTTTGAATTTCAAACATCAGTCGCGCGACGGATTTGACATACTCTAGATCCGCCCCTGCAGTGAACACTATCACGAACGACTTATTTTGACTCTGAAAATGACTACTGCTAGTTGTCGAAACGTCAGTCAACATCAATACCAACAGTCCTTCTCGGGACTCTACTAACCTGGACGATCTTCATCTACAAACATGTTACGAAAGTCCAGGGTTCAAACCATTTACTTTATTACTATCAGGTACTGTCACTGTACCATATGCAATGTCAGATTTTATCAGCTAACTGAGACTAGTAAAAATTTGTTTTCAATAGATATTTTTTATCAAAATGTTCTCAGTGTCAGGAATTGTGAATTATTTTATTGTTTTCTTCTGAGAAGGGAAATAATTTTGCAGGCATGTTATATACTGTTGTACTAAGTGTACTCAGTGCTGTGTTTACAGTTTAATCAGATGAAATTATAGTGTTGTTGAGGAAAAAATCTAGAATTGAATTTTTGTAGGTAATTTTGAGATGGGTATGACTTGAAATATTAAAACAAAAGCCATCATCTTTGAATTTACAGAGCAAAAAATGTTGTCTAAGTTTTTTGTATTTTTTATCTATTTTAGATGGAATGCTCAAACGAAGGTGGAAAAACCTACGCGATGGCATGATGCGTTGCTTAAAAAAGATAAGTGATGGACAAAAGTCTGGGGCGGGTGCTACAATAACACCCACATGCAAATTCTTCGAGCAATTGCTTTTTTTACGTGATTTTGTTTCCAATCGTGAAACAGAAAGCAACATAAACGTAACCCCAATGAATTTTCCAAACAATCAGATGCATGAACAAAAAACTGAATCTGCTGCACAGAAATCAGTGAGGTTCACAACATACAAATATGACAGCCCAAAAGAATTTTGTAAACGGAAACTGGATGTAGATCAGTGTGACAAAAAGCAGCCTTATAAGCGATCAAAGAAACATTTTGAGTGGCAAGAAAAGATTGACTTGTTGTTGGTTGATGCTTTTAACAAAGTCAGAAGATGTGTCAACACAAAAGACTGAAGTGCGCATTTCAAACCAATTGTTTTGTGACAGCATTGTGGATATATTAGACGAATTGCCTCCTAAGAGCAACCGAATGGCAAGGGTTGAAATTCAAAACATTCTTATAAAGTATGAATTTGATGATGAACATTAGAACTCTTGCCTGTATTTTTCGTAATTCCTCATATTTATTTTATATTGATATTTCTTTCAAATTTTATTGTGAAATATGTTGATATGTTGTTTGAAGACAAAAGTATATTTATTACAAAAAGGAATATAGTGTTTTGATTAATGCTGAATTAACCATTAAGAGTGTATGTCAATCCACTGTTTCATCTAATACAAGTCTGTCAAACGCACAGGGTCGCAACTAACGTCAGTAATTCTTCAAACTTGAAAGGAGTCATACGAAACAAACGAAAAAAAATTCTTTGTCATATAACATAGCTTCTTGAACTAGAGTATGGTATTCTCCTTTTTCTTTCCTTTTTTGTAATATATTCCTTACCCAAAATCTTTTCTTGTATTTTTGTTTTCTTAATCTTCGTCTTGAAAGAATTAGCAGAAAAAGTAGTCGTCGATTATTCAGAGCCGCCATGTTTTGCTTAAATTTCCCACCATCTCTTGCGAAAACAATGGAAATAAAATCCAGCGGGCGGCCAATGCTCTCAAAAACAGATTTCGCCCGCGCGGGCGAAGCGACCGTGATGGAAAACTGCCTTAAAGCGACTGCCTAGTGTGTTTCAGCGTTAATTCGCAGCAGACGGTTTGTTGTAAAAAGAATAAAGATTACGTCACAAGGCGCAGCACATAATATTTGGAACATTTCGGATGAAAATTGTTACGTAAAAACAAGGTTCGACAATTTTTCATTTCATAGAAGTCTCGACAGTTATCAACTTTGTTACTAGGTTGCGTATAAAAATTTTTGAGACCCGATAAGAAATCCAATTGGGTGAGTTGTTAGTGGTCAACAAGCAGGAGCGAAACTAGAACGCTAATTTGTGGGGGAGGGGGGGTATAAATATTCATACATTCAGATCTGCCCTGAGGATTTCTGTTGTTGGCAATTTTAATTTCAAAAGAAATCAGGGGGGGAGAACTGAATTCATGAATATTGACCCCCCACACACAAACCCAATTGGCGTTCTAGTTTGTCAAAAAGCATTTGTGCTTGAATTCTATCTTTCTCCCGGTCACAGGTTTCAAAATACAAAAAACAATAGAAATAAACTTAGAAAGTCAGCGCTTGAATCAACTACAGCATTAGTAAAGCACTTTGCACGTTCTGCCGTATTTCTAACATTAGCTACCACGCATCCAGATAATACGTAAATATCAGAGGTCAGTGTACCGAACGCTGTACGTAATGTTTACTTGCCTGGGAATTTGAAGGAAATATAAACATATTCGTGCTATTTCTTCGCTGTTGAAATCTGGAATCTGCCATTCCGACTTTCCAGCATCCAAAAATATCACAGGTGCACCCCTGGCGTCCCTTGTACCTATGCGGGAAAATGGAAACTCGAAATACGAATTATATTACAAATTAAAACCCGATAAACAATAAAATAACAGCAATACAACGCGTGCGCTGATTGGTCTATAATTGAGTTTGCATTATCCTGTGCAAACCGATGTCAGCTCAGTCAATAAAAGCAATTAGCTACAGAGAATTTGCAAACCCATCAACATACATGTTGTGGGAAAAATTGAAAAACTTGTTTCGAGTTTATCTGTTTTTATTTAAAAAAAAGTAATAAAAGATGTTTATTGTGTTTGCACTTGGTTATGCAATTAATGTGAACCGAGGAGACATTAGCAAGAACTCGCTCTTGGGTTTGCACTGATCTGCTCTAGAATTCTCTCAAAGGTCTCCTCGGTTTACATAAGCCAGTGCAAACACAGTAAACATCTTTTATTTCTCATGTAAAAAAACAATTAAACACGTGCGCTAATTGGGCTGTAGCTGATTTCGAATCAACCCATGCAAATCGATCCGAACTCAATGAATTTAATCAATCAAAGAGAATTTGCGAATCACTCAGTCTCAAGTTTGCAGTGATCAGTTCTCGAGTTTTCTCAAAGGTCTCCTCGGTTTGCATAAGCCAGTGCAAACACAGTAAACATCTTTTATTTCTCAATTATAAAAGAAAAACAATTAAACACGGCGCTAATTGGGCTGTAGCTGAGTTCGAATTAGCCCATGCAAATCGATCCGAACTCAATTAATTTAATCAATCAAAGAGAATTTGCGAATCACTCAGTCTCAGATCAGCTCTCGAGTTTTTACAAACTTAACTTCCAAACTTCCAGACTGAGGGGGACCATATTCATACAAATTGCTATGACAACCTGATTTCTTTTGAATGTGAAATTGCTTTCAAAAGAGATAGACCACGCATAGCAGAATATAAGAATATCACCCAATGTAAGCATTTGCAAACAAGAAAACGCAGTTTTACTTTCTAAACGTTTTCTTTGATTATTCGTTAAAAACGATGTCATCAAACTATACACCAAAGCGACATTATACGTACGTAAATTTATAGTGTAGTTTTTTGAGATTTGTTATAACAGCTTTATTTAGTACAATGAAAGCTATATCTTCAATGTACGTGTTCTCCTTTCTACGTCACATCCGATTCAGAGTCATATACTTCTGGGCAACAAAAACCCAAGAAGATAAAATTTTCTTCCCATCAAATATGTTGAAAATGTTCTTAAGTTCGATGTAACTTTCTGTAGAATTTATTTCACTGACTCTTTACGTAACTATCATCTTACCTGGCAAGCAGATTACATTACTATGAATGACTTCGAAATTCACATCAAGTATAGTCAATGGCTTCGAGCTTAAATCTGTGAACATTTTGATAGAATTTACTCTGCTCGTCCGCGGGCTCAGCTCTGTATTCAAGTCCTTACTGCTTTGCCGTCTGTGCATTGTGTCAAATGCCATTATGTACCTCCACGGTCTGCGTTCAAACCCTTTGCCTGCTTGGCCTCTCACAATACAGCTCAAAAAAAGAAACCTGTTCTTCATTTGCTTCGACTTTCGTTCATTCCAGTTGGAAGCCCATATACCATCGTATTCACTTTTGGTCAGCGGCAACAACATCACCTTTTTGGAATCGTAATACTTCAAGATGATCTCGCCGGGCGATGCAGGTTTCAAGTGAAAATAGAATTCCCCTTTGTGGAGGTTGATGTCGAGCTGCGAGAGATGTATCACAGATGTGACAAATCTCTCGTAACATGGTAGCCATCTTTCCTCGCTCATTCCAGAATTTGAGAAAAATGTCTGAAAGTAGAAAACGAAGCAATGTTATTGATTTCAAGCAATTTCCGTGAAATTGAGACTTCCCCGGATGGTCACACTGCAGGGAGCGTGGAAGATTGATAATTGACGCGGGGAAGGCTCACATTGATTTCAACAGAAACTAATAAAGTAGTACATGAATATCGTCACGTTACTAACTTTTATAGCAAATCATTTTTGGTAGTTTTGAGAAAAAGAGGAAATAATTAATATAACTTTAAAAAAGTCAAACGCTTCAATAAACATCATATATTGAACATTTATTGAGTCGTTTTTTGATTGGTCAATTGACTTCGACAATAAATACGGTACATAACAATGGGGAAAATAATAATTCTACGCAAAAATCCTAAATCCACCTTCCCCTCCCTCAACTATCAATCTTCCGCGGTCCCTGACACGTATGAAAGAACTATCATAATTAATCCTATGGCATGGAATGTACATATCCACGAAAGTGTTGGATGGGAGGGGGGGGATGCTATAGTAAGTATTAGATTTCGATGGCTCCATTTTGTTGTTTAATGTCAGACTGTTTTTTTCAAATGACTTAACTTGATATTGTGACAGTAAAATTTTGCTGGAAAGGGCACTCCATTAAAATCTTATCACAATTGCTTTGGCTTAATTGTTTGGTCTATTAGTATTGGTAGGAAAATTGGTACCCATTGTACACCCCTTCAACGTGCACGTCTCCTAACCCCAATTATCCCCGCTATATGTACGACGTAGACAGTAACCAGGTCAGTTTATTTACTCATGTTCTGTATTTTTTCGACGTTCACTCACTTCAAAAACAATAAATGTTCAAAGAAAAGAAAACTAATAAAGTTCTCAAATTTAAATGGAACGACAACGTCACTAGCCACCACGCTACGTCATTGCAGGTAAATGGGGTGAGATAGTGAGATTATTCTGAAAAAACGCATTAGAATTCGGACATGAGGGAGCACGTTAATACAACGCAGGAGTGATCAAGTACTTTTCATGGAATTTAATGTTCGAATGACATTTTTTTAAAAAATTCAAAATGCTCATGAACGCAGATCAAAATTGCATTAAAGTTGAATATGTATCATGGTCTAATAGACCTAGTTCATAGTTTACAGAGATAAACTTGGATCAAAACTGCATTAAAATTGAATATGTATGACTAGTTTATAGTATACGAAGATATTGCAAACTCCGATCAAAATTGGAAAAAAATAAAGTATGGACTATAGTTTAATAGACATAATGTAGTTTATAGTTGGTAGATAAGACTTAGTCTATTTCACGATATAAGAATCTTGTAACACATATATTGAGGAACAAAATACAGAAGCCATTCGTTTACCTATGATGAACAACAAAACAGTCGGTTCCAGGCCCCTTATGAATTAATGATCGTCCCATTATGCTCTAGTTTACAGATATAAAAACAGCATAAAAATTGAATATGTACTTTGGTTTAATAAATCTAGTTCTTATTTTGCAGAGATAAACTCCGATCAATTAATAGACCTATGCAGATGGTTCAAAGTTTACAAAGATAAACATGCTCTTTCAACATTTATATACCATTTGAAATACGACAAGTTTAATATAACTAATTTATTTTGCTGTTTATGATGCTCTCATTTTTTCATTATAGAATAAAAGTATGAATTATTAATTGGTAATTCATATGTATGACATATTTATCTTCACCTGAATTAAAGATGACTTGAAATTAACTCAAAACATGTTTATGTTGGAAAATTTGGTCGTTTACTTCAAATGCGCTATTAATCTTGTGCTATTGACATCATATGGAAATACCAATATAGCCTACAGCAGAGAGAGACATGTTTATGTTCACAAACCTCAGCTGATGTCCGTAGTTCTAGAAGTAATGAGCAAATAGGCCTCAAAAACTCATCATCAAAGAGCTCAGAATGGCCACCATAAACCTCTTCACAAATCTTCTCGAGTTCATTAAAATGATCCTCGAACATGGAACCCTCGAGAAAGAGTTTCCATTGTTCATCATCTTGTGTCTACAAGATCAAAAAATAGCATTTTTATGTACTCTATTATATTGTGATTAAATAACATTTAAGCTCAAAGTTGCAAGGCTTCATCATGCACAAAGGCTTGCTATTGTAATGGTGATGTGTTTATTTATACACAGAAATGCCAATGACAAAATAGGATAAAATATTTTAGCAAAAGTTTATTATTTCACCGATATCAAAAACTTATTTTTAAAGTAGAGATTAATGTCCTTAGAAACTGCCAAGAATACCAGTCTGGCTGGCTGCTATGCCTTGAAGGATGCAAACACAATCTGCCTACATGTTAAATGTAAACTATTTCTTGAGAAATTGGCTTAATTCGGATCACTTAAAATAGTTTGAAACATATTGGAATATAATGGATAATGTATGTAGTAATCACCTACAATTTGAGTTCTAATGATTCAGGGAATATGTAACATAAATTACTTTATTTCTGTGTTATTTGAACATTCTGGTAACTTTGTTTACTAAAAGATTATGTTCCTCGATAATTAGGACATTGTATGTCAACAAGGATGAAGCAGTTTGACTAAGGATTTGCGAAAAAAATTGCGTTATTTGGAAGGAAATATTTCCCTGGGTTATCGCAACTGTTACAATTAGGTAATATCAATCAATTAAGGAACCACAACAATCGTATGTTTCAAATTAACATCAGTAATTGAATACACCAGCAGTTTTCTAAACAGTTATAATAACTTCAAGAAAATTGCTTTGAGCAAATAGCATATTGTCAACCGCACTCGAGGTAAAGTTATACCGAAGTTGCTTGCCGACTCTCTTCCGTTATGTGTAAATTAGAAATTGTGACATACAATTCGTATGTACTTGTTTATCGAGTAAAAAATCGTGTAATTTTGCTTGAAAAGTGCGATATCGATAAGGCTGTGGTTAAATACAGTTGTATAGTCGAAATAGGTAGAGTCACAATTTGAAAGTCTCAACTAAAAATCAGTTAAAATCAATCGCAAGAGTTTCAAAACAATTCTTCGATTTCGTAATTAAATTATTCCGTCTGGATGAATAGAACACGATTAAATAAAAAGAACTTTTCCCTGTAAACGATATTCGCAACTATTTATAATATCACTTACAAATGAATAAAGATTATACACAATTGATGACAAATGATCGCTACGTACGTCAAAGACGTCAAAGATCGAACGTGATTACTGATGAGCTTGTTTACAGTCGACTACGAATAACAAAATTTCTTTACAAATCCCTAGAATATGACCAAACCTGGATAATACAACGGTATGTATTCCTTTGTGTGATAGCTCGCCCAAAAAAGTGACGAGACCTTTGCGCAGAGGGATTAAATAAACATCAAACACGAACATCGGTCAACGACAATGGCAGTAAACTCAAAACACAGCAGCTATGCACGCGATTTGGAATCGATTTCAAGACATCTTACCTCTATAGACATCCTAAAGTTTCTCAAAGACAACTGGCTTGCCGTATATCTTTCGATTTTGGTAGATTTTCGATTCAAAATACTGCATCACAAAGCATTTTATGAAAAGGTCGATTCACTGGCCATGAGAGTCGGCCATAATTGGAAGTCAATATGACGGAGACCGCAAAGGTATGTGGGTAATCTCGTCAAGTAAGGAGACTGCTGTAAAAGGCTTAGCAATCCTTCCTTTTCTCTCCTTTTTTGTCAACTTGTGCGTCAAAGTCTCAACGAATTAAACAGAATATATTGAATGAAGTGAAGTTTTTCTAAATACCTGCTTGAACTCAAACAACTGTTTGGTCAACTTTGTAGCTTAGCGATCAGTGAGTTCTTAGAAATAAGACTAAAGGACGTAGCTTGCTCAATAATCGGTGGTTGTATCTCGTTATTAGTTCTTTTGATTTTTGAAATTCAATGCTTTCAGCGGATTATAGAATGCACATATGAATATAAGCCTTTCCCCCCTCTCCCCCACCCCCCGAATCATGTATTTTCCTACGGTCGTGGATTTGAGCGAAACAAATGGTTTTTCAAAAGTCCATAATAAGTTTGGAATGGCATAATTACTTAACAGATTGTGTGTACATTTTTTACGTAATTATGAATTTTTTCTTCTTGAAAACCATATTCATTTTGTGTTGTATGTTCGCTGAGAATTTTATCATTTCAAGTTAAGTAATTATCAAGAATGTTAAATTTCTTTTGACAGGAAAGATTTCGGTATTAATTTTACATTCTCGTTTATAAGAACTTTTAAAACGACGGCGTTCTTTCTAAAACAGTTCGTGAATGTCGTTTTACATTCTCATTTCTCATGTTATTAAAGTTTTTTAATATCCATTTAGTACAACCAGTGACATCATTATGCATAATGAGTCGTAGAAAAATTTCAAATATTCTTCAGTTTTCTGGCATCTTTTCGATGAAATTCTTTCGCAATATTTCATGAATAGAGTATTTGCACACTTCAACGTCAAAGCTTTGGACAATATCTTTGATGAAGTGTTTGAATATTTTAGACCTTTTAATTTTGTCAGTTCGATGCAAACATAGTTTATTCATAGCATTATCTTTATGAAGATAGACATTTCAATATTTTAAAGACTTAACACTTTCGTCTAAAAAAGGGAAATATTAATTGGGATCAATCACATCATCTCCAATATGAACAAAAGTGATCATAAAGCAGTCTTTACACTACCTAAAATATAAACGTGTGTCAGTGTAGGTAGTGATGAATGGACAACAGAGAATGAAAAGAAGAAAATCATCCAATTGCTTTTTGGCTATATCATTTTCTTGAGCAGGCTATTTCAAAAGTGTTTCTCGGTAACACAATTCTTACGCTATTTTACAGTCAGATGAACCATTAGAAGTCAAACTTCTTATTCCACCAAATGTTTATGAAGATCTTGCACGCTGAAAACTACAGCAACGTTTTCGTAGCTGTTCAGTTTTTTTATACACTCAATGTACACCACCGACACGACATTATAAACTAAATAATGTTTGTCGGTGATGATGAATCAATAACAGACAAAAAAACTCCAGACAATGTTTACGTGAAACATAAATATATATGAATTTAATTGGTTTAATCTAAGCTAACAATGTCTACAGGAAATTACACGAGTATAAATTTAGAGAGAACTAAGTTCACCTTAAAACTGCGCAGAGTCATTTTCCTATTCTTGAATTCTATTCTTGATTAGTCTGGAATTTTCTTCCGACTTTTTCAACACTTTTGCATTCTGAATTTGTAATTCTTTATCCATTTTAAAAACGTCACTAGATCTTCATTTTTTTTGATTTCCTCCGAGCTCACGTCTTCTTTATCGGAGGAAAAATCATAAAATATAATTCCATCGACAAAATTAGAAAATCCACGTTTTTCCTTGGGCCATTCCACCTAAGGATCTTTAAGTGCCTTTTTTTCGTGAAATAAGAAAACATGAACTTCTTTCTTTCAAGGTTGATGATCATGTTCGCCTAAATTGGTTGATACAACGGAAATCCTGTTTAAGACACAACATGTCAAAACATTTGAAGACTTTTTTACATCTAATGTTTTGCGCCATATGAAATTTGGAAAGTAGGAAAATAGAGCAAGTTCTATAGAGCAAGATGGTGACCGTTATGTATTTTTGGGATTAAACAACAGATATATGTCTGTCAACAAGAAAGAAATGTTGGAAACAGAAAAATTACCTTTGGTGAAAGTCATACAATCGTTCAATATTTCCAAATATTAAATTTTTCCTTCCCGTAATGACGCCGGTAGATCGTCACTCTCCATTTGCTTTATATAATTCTACACGAAAAAATTATACGAAATTACTAATATTGTAAACACTCGACAAAATTAACTCCAACATTACCTGAATTACGTAATCCAAGGATTTGACATAATCTCTTTCGGTAGTGACCATTTCATCCACAATATATAACAACTTTCTAAAAAAACAATAATGGCCTTGAGTCTTTGAGGAAATTATATGGATGTTTATGGACAAAAATGGATGTTTCATTTTAATATTAAGCTTGCAACCTTACTCTTTGGTTTTTTCTGAAAGTTTTTGATAAGTTTGTTCATCTTGCTCTCCAGCAGTCTGAAAAACAAAATCATTTTCATTCACTAGCAAAGGAGTTCTTTTGCATTCATGTTGCAAAGAACAAACGTTTATTGATCAAACAAGTTGATAACGTATTTTCAAAAGTTTTCATTAAAGGAATTCTTATATGTAAAGAAAAATATAGCAGAAATACTGGTTGTGTGTGGAGGGAAATATCATAGGAATAATTGTTGAAAAAGAAAAAAACAATAAAATTACAGCGAGCAAAACAAAGATAAAATCTCAAATAACGTCTTCATAAACATACATCTTTCAAGTTATAAAACAACGAGCAATTTTCTTGTAGGAGACAAATCTTCAGGACGATCTAATTTATCATCATCATCATCACCACTGTCCAAGTCTCCTTCTTCATCGTTTGCACCCAAGGTTGAGTTCGATGTTGGTGTAGATGAAGATCCCTTGCTGGTACCGTTTGTGGATGCATCGGAGACCTATGGATAAAGGGGATTTTCATGGATGATCAAACAACATTCACAATGAATAATCAAAAGCTTCCCCAAAGTAAAGTACTAGACAGTTTGTTTATAGAACAATATTTGTAATGAACTGTTATTTCCATGGGCATATATAAAGTGGTGACAAAAATATCGATTGACGGCAGTTGAAAATCACTAACACCACCATACTTGCTAGGTCAAAAGATCTCCATAAAACATACCTGTACGTGTACGGCTGCCCTCTGTAATGTTTCCTGACGTTTTAAAAACATTTCCTCGACTTCCTTGTAGTCTGCAACGGATTTCTCGTCCTGATTATGTAGATCTTCGTTCTTCAATTTACCAGAAAGTTCATTTAAGTTATTTAATCTTTCCTTCGACCACATGGGAAATTCTTGAAGAAATCCTTCCATGCTTTCTTACAGTGAAGCGACACCTTTAGAGGAGTTTGATGCTTCCATATTCTTCAATGCCATGTGTTTCAATGCTCGAATTCTCCATTCAGAACTCTGTAGTGACGTAAGAGATGTCTGTAATGGAAACAATACTTAACTATACCACACAGTTATTGGGAAGATCGAAAGTTCCACTAGTCTCTATAAAACAAGTAAACCAACGACAAGTAGGAAGGAAAGTTTATGAAATGTCTTGTAAAGCAGTGGTATAAATTGTTGTGGATTAACCATTGATTGATAAAACACGTAATATGACCAGTCAGACCAATCTTTTACACGAACAAGAAACCACGTGGTATAAGCAGTCAAACCAATCACATACACGAATGAGAAATCACGTGATATGAACAGTCAAACCAATTCTTCACACGAACAAAAAATCACGTGGTATAAATAATCAAACCAATAATTTACATGAACGAGAAACCATGTGATACAAGCTCTCAGACCAGTCATTAGCATTACCTCTCTGATCGTTTGATGAATCTCCATATATGTGACTAGAGCGACACGTCTTTCCTCTAGTGCTGTAGTGAATTGATCCAGTCTCGTCTTCAGTACCTTTGACATTTCCTTTACACCAAAGACATCATCAGTTCCCCAATGAGCTATATTGCTACCTTCCTCTAGGAAATCTTGAGTTTGGAGTATATAACTCTAAAAAGGAAATAATTGATGTAAACTTTGAGGAAACGCGAAATGTCTGAAAATTATACGATATGGATAAAGTTGTACAATCTGGGATAAAGATGTATTTCATGAAAGAATTATGTACCAAGTGGGATAAATTTGTACAGTCTTTAATGAAGTTCTTTTATCTTGGGACAAATACTTAAAATATTTAAAAAAAATTGTGCAGTCTGGAATTCGTCAACGCTAAGCTCAAAGTTTTATATTTTCTCCAGGTGGACCTATTTCCTTTCAAACAAAAGGTTAACAAAGAAGGGGAGGGTTAAGTAAAGGTTACAAACCACTGGTGATCATGTCTGTGCCTGTGACAAATTGACATAATCTACTGTAAATTTTTCTTCGTAATCTAGACCATAATACCTTAGCAGGAGTCAGGAACTTCTCGAAGTTACCATGGTAACTGAGCGCCTGTCCATACGACTGTGCAATCTCCACAGGTTTTTCCAAACAAGGCATACCGACATCCTGTAGCCACTCTAATACCTAAAAGAACATTTAAACCATACATTACAAAAATCGTGTCGAATACCGATAGCCTATAGTATCAATAATTGGCTACACAATCCAGCTCTATAAAAAGGTCAGTGTAATCACGTGAGCAACCATTCTTTCTTCGCTTATTGAAATTTGAAAATTATAGTAAACGATATCGTGACAAACGTGCCAAATGTCGACTTTGGCCAAAAGAAAGAAATGCAAAGTTTTTGTTCACTCGCAGAAAGGGTGGAATAACAAGGCAGAATATATTGATTAAAAATTTAAAAAGGAGTTTGGTTCGCATAAGATTAATTGCAAAAATCTGATCTTTGTTTAACAGAAAACAGTGAAACCGCACAATTTGTGATGTGTTTTCAAATGTAGGTTACATCAAAGAGCAAATGCTCAAGTGAGCATGAAACCAACACAAAGTCCTTTTCTTTTTAAAATTTTCTGCCCACTTGTCAGTGAAAGCACTTCATTTGGGTTTTTTGTTATATAATTGTTAAATTTGTATTATAATTAAAACATTGTCGGTGATATTGGGTACCTTGATTGTTAATTTTTTCAACTTTGTGGAAAGTTTACGGCATGGTCTAAGTAAAATCTTCAGAAATATTAATTAAAAAAACAAGGCTCAACCATTCAACTGTATCATATGATATTGCCAGTAATCGTCTATTCATGCAGAAAAAAACATGAAATTGATTTATCCATTTAACGGACTATCGTGCTCTATATAAAACTTTACAAAAAATGATAAAAAGTAAGCAATAGAATCCTCAAGAAATAATACAAACAGAAACAATGCAAATGATCAAAAATATCAATTTTATCATGTTTGTGGAATGGTAGTACGAGAAACTTATACTTAATACAATGAACTGTACTTGAATTTAGTCAAATTCAACACTTTTATTCGCATTGTTTACATTTACCTTGGCTTACTTTGTTGGTGTGTTGAATGAAAGGTAGAAAGTAAATAACAGCAAATATTATCTTTTCAACTTACATAACGTCAAAATGACAACACAACATCGAATTATAAGAGTAGGAAATAAAATTGACTATTTTCAATCACTTGAAATGTGCGATGCATTCGCTTTCACAGATTAAATATTGTTTGAACGGAATCGTCAGAAATACAGTCTTTTCAAAAGGTTATTAGAAAAAAATTAATAACAAAAAGCACAGCGCATTGACACAAATACGTAATACAACTAATTCTAGTGTCGTATGTATGTAAATCAATACACAAGTCATAAACATGTTCATTTGTCGGTTGAATAAATGACATCTCATGTAAGTTAGGAAACTGTTTTGAAAGACAATCAAGACATGTATTATTGCAAATAAATGGTTATTAGTGAAAACAATGCATTTATCGTTCAAATCTGTAAGAACTCTTAAAGAACTCTTCACTTTCCACGATGTGGGGTTTGAGCGAACGCGTTCGGTAGATGCAGAAAGTGTTTAAGAGTAAGAGTTACTGAGTCATTTGACTAAGCATTCAACACATTTTAAAATCTTGAACACAATCTTGACAAAAATTGTATTTATTATATATTATCGAAACTATGTTTATAAATCTACTTCACTTTGTGGCCACATAACTGAAGGTTACCACATGTACGAATTGCGTACCTATTTTTGTTTATGCATGTCTTTTGTAGATCTGCTTCATTGCATTGTTTTGTTTTATCTTTTTTTGTCTTGGTTTTCTTTTACAAAATATGTTAAAATATAAAAACAGGCGTTCTTATTCCTTCGCTTTTAACTTCCGTGTTTATCAAACGTCGACTGTAAATTTCAACGTATCTTCTAGCTTTAACTTGTAGCGATAAACAAATAATTTCGTCACTTCTTAAATTAATCTTAACACTGAATTATACGGGAAGACGAATGAAATGGCTTATCGTCCCAATGATTATGAATGTGGCTATGATGAATCCAGATTTAAGAATGCTGTTGATGAATATTTTCGCTGTGCAATTTGTCTTAACGTCATGAAAGATGCCAAAATGTGCCACAATGAACACATCTTTTGTCGTAAATGTATCGAAGAACATCTACGAGTTAATGCACAAAGATGTCCTCAATGTCAAGATAATTTGACGGTAGCTACACTTCTTCCAGCGCGTGTTATAAATAACTTGATTTCTAAGTTTAAAATCAGATGCGACTACGCTAATCGTGGTTGTCCTGAATTTATCAATGTTGAAGATCTTGAACGACATGTTCAAAATTGTGGTTTTGCTCCAGTGTTGTGTTGTAATGAACGTTGTGACAAGGAGATAAACAAACGAGACAAGATTGAACATGAAACTGAGTTATGGGAATACAGAAAGACTTCATCTCACTACTTTGAAGAGATTAAAGAAATAATTCAACGAAGTTTTGATCATGAGGAAAAAGAGAAAATGCAGCTGACTGATATAACTAGAAAAATGGAGTTACTGACAAACCAAAACTCGAAATCACAAAAAGAAATGATGGAGTCGAAAGGAGAAATAAGACATATTCAACAAAATCTTTCTACAGTGACCAAGGAAATGATGGAAACAAGAAAAGAAATAAAAGATGTTCAACGAAATCTTTCTACAGTGACCAAAGAAATGAAAGAAATGAAAGTCATGATGCTTCAAATATTGAGAAAGACCACTAAAAATGAATATGTCAAAACATTATCATCATCAATTGAGGGAATGATGAACTCAGGAAAAGAAGATATTTTGATTGTTGGTGGTGTCTCGCCTGGTTCCAAAAAGAGTGCTGAAATATTTTCATTGAAGGAGAAGAAATGGTGTAACATTGCATCAATGGAAAATAAACGCAGCTTTGCTTCATCTTTTATTTATAATGATAATTTATTTGTTATTGGAGGTGGTGGCTGCATGTCGATGGAGACATTGAATATAAAACAGTCACCTTTGACATGGAGGAAATTTCCCACAGAGCTTCCTTATGAATGTCGCCTTCATCAAACTGTTGTTTGTAAACAACGAATCTTTGTCATTGGAGGATACATTGTTGGCAAAGGAAAATCAGATTTGATCAGTGAAGTAAAGATTATTGGTACAACATCTCATGTTTTAAAAGAGTTGTGTCGTATGCCTGAACCACGGTGTTACCATGGAGCTGTTGTTGTTGTTGACAAAGTTCTTATTTTTGGAGGTTGGGGAAAATATAGCCAAGTTTTGTCCAGTGTTTTGGAATTTGATCCTAGGACTCTTACATTTAAAGAAATGCCTCCATTACCTCATCCATTGACTGAAATGGCTGCAGTTCAATGGAGAGATCAAGTTGTTCTTCTTGGAGGTTATGATGGAACAAAATATTTGAACAGTGTTATCATGTATGACTGTGATACAGGTAAGATTACAGTCTTACCATCCATGTTGGAAAAGAGATCCGGGTGTTGTGCAGTTATAACTGTTGATACAATTATTGTCATGGGAGGTCTGAATGATAAATGTGAAGTTCTTAAATCAGTAGAGTGTTTCAAAATGGGAACTAGTTCTTCATGTACATATCTTCCTTTAATGAATGAACCACGATATGCTGCCATTGCTGAAGTTTTACCTTTTGGGCAAAATTACGTATAAGCACAAAATATTCTGTAAATAATCAGATCATTATAACTCACCGAAACTTTTTAATATTAAGTTGAACAGTGAATATTTAAAGTTAAATATGTAAACCTTCAATGTTCTTATAGCCTTTGATTATTATAGTAAATTACTGAAGAAATAAATGACTTTACTATTTTATTAAAGACTGAGGTAAAAGAAAATTTATGGCATTAGTTTTTGTTTAGAATCTTAAAGCTGCAGTGTATGGATTTGACCAGTTGTTTTGTCAAATCTTTGTTCATCAAAATCAAAACCACTGCCAATTGTACATAGCTTAATTATTAAACAATTTTTATTTTCCCTAACACGAGGAAAAGTGTGAAAAAAATACGAGGTTATTGTTGATGGACAAGCAAAAAGTTTCACAGAAATAGCGTTTTTTTTGTATAACAGATAACATGTTGCTTTATTGTATTGACAATTATATAGTCCAAGAATGACAATTTGTTTGCGATATAGTGATGTGATGCTGAGAAAATGCGATGTTTCTCATCAAAGAACAAGTCTTACATTAACTAAAGCATTTTCTTTGCTTTAAAGTGCCCATGACACGATAAATTTGCAATCTGAGTTGTACTCTTATTGAAGAGATCTTTAAAATAACAATGGACATTCTAAAACAGTTTATGCACATCACTTTTATTTCTTGAGATATTGAGGTTTTTGCTTTGTCCGATTTATCTAACTTGTGACGTCAAGTTGCATAATGAGAACTAGGAGTATTAGGTATATTTAACGATACTTTACTTCACAAGGACAGAGTTCCCTTTGTTGTGACGTGGTTAGTGGTATAAGATATAAAGTTGTCAGGAAACCGAAGAGTATTTAAAACATTGTGGGAACTCATTATGCAATATGACGTCACAAGTTAGATAAAATGGAAATAACAAAAACTTGCTTCAGCACTGAGAACAAAAACGTCAAGTAAAATGCAAAATAATACTCAAAATAAATGCATATGTATTGAAATATTATCATTGTAATGTTCGTGTCCACGATTCCATCGTTGGAGGTTAGACTCTAAATGTTCTCTTTATGTATAGAACATCTCAGTTGTTCAGTATACTTAAAGCTTGAGTGTATGTTTGAGATTTGTAATCAAGAACTTCAGACGCGTCTACAAGAAATAAAGATATTTTATGCAAATTAATGTTTTTAACAAGTTTTGAAAGCCTTGGCATGAACAACAGAGAACAAGAAAAATCTTTACACTACCCAAAATATAAACTAAAAGAATGGTGTCAGTGTAGGTAGGGATGAATGAACAACAGAGAACGAGAACAGTTTTTACACTACCTAAAATATATACTAAGATAACGTGTGTCAGTGTTCATTGTGATGAATGAACAACAGAGAATGAGAACAGCTTAGACTTTTCAAGATAAATAGCGGCAGCCCATGAATGAGCACGTTAACTTTATTTATAATTATTGCAAATATTTTATTGCATTCATTGCCCATAAGTCATTACGTCATCTTAATCCATTTATGCTTTTTGCAAAAATGCACAACAAGATGATGAACAAGGTAGCAAACATTTTAGAGACTTGAATTCAAATATCTTTAATGCCTTTTACTTAAAATGTCTAAGTACCGTCTGTTTCGCTCCTAAGCACCGTCTGTTTTGCTCCTAATACTTAAAATGTCGAGTACCGTTTGTTTCGCTTCGTTAATGAAAAATGCTTCAGCACTGAGAACAAAGACGCAAAGTAAAATGCAAAATAATACTCAAAATAAATTCATATGTATTGAATATTATCATTGTAATGTTCGTATATACGAAGTGTCCACGATTCCAGCGTTGAAGGTTGGAAACTAAATGTTCTCTTTATGTATAGAACATCTCAGTTGTTTAGTATACTTGAAGCTTGAATGTATGTTTGAGATTTGTAATCAAGAACTTCACACGCGTATACAAGAAATAAAGATATTTTATTCAAACTAATGTATTTAGCTCTAGTGGCTTTAGCATCTGCTTCAAAATACTCACGACCAAAAATAAAATTTAAAGACGTGTTTGCGTTTAAAAAATCAGTTACATGCGATGAATAGTGTATTTTTTCTGTATTTTTAACATTTCCAAGTTTTGAAAGCCTAAGGGGAACAACAGAGAACAAGAATAAACTTTAACCTATCTAAAATGAGGTAGGTAGGGATGAATGAGCAACAGAGAACGAAAACAGTCTTTACACTACCTAAAATATAAACTAAGATAACGTGCTTCAGTGTAGCTAGTGATGAATGAACAACAGAGAACGAAAACAATCTTTACACTATGTAAAATATAAACTAAGATAACGTCTGTCTTTTAAGAATGAGGAAGTAATCAATGAATCAGTAAGAAATCAAATAAGGAAATAGTTTTGAGGTCGACTAAAGTCGCAGCTTGTCTACATTTTTGCATCAATCAAGCTCATTCACGTTATTTGAAAAAGCCTAATGTAGTTGTGATGACCAGTTTGATTACAAATAGCTCAACTAACTACAGAGAAACGAGTGTTGAGAAATTACAAACGAAGGCGAAGCTGTATAGAAATAAGCCGTTTTATTGTGACTGCTAAAAGTTGTCATTCTAGTAGTCACCGGAGCTGCTTCATATTCTGAGTATTATTTCTTTGTGGGTCAATTAACGTATACCCAAGTTACGTATAAACACTGAAGAAAGGCCAAAGAGGTTATTTACAATCAAAGTAAAACTGAAATCTACTAAATTGCTAAAAAATCAGAGTTGACAGAGAAGATTGCCTTTAGACATTTACATAAAACAGACATCCATCTATACCTCCAACATAAACAATTCAACATTCAATAAAGTTTTTGTCTCTGTGTGTATAAGCAAGAAATAGTGAAGCAAAACAGGGTATCATTAAAAGTTCGAAGCAAATAAGAGTTGATGGACTTTACTTTTAGTGCATGGGATTATTAAAATTGTCTGCGACATGGTTGTTTGATTTGGTGGAATATGCTGACTTTTTACTCTGTACTGTTGTACAGTACTTTTAGTATTTTACACTATTACTCTAATGGTATAAGACAGGTGTGGGCAACATACGGCCAGCGGGCCGGGTCCGGCCCCTGAAGGGATTTTGACTGGCCCGCTGACTGTATCCGACCATTGAATATTGAATATTATTCATGTAATAATCCGGCCCACCAATAACTTCATTTTCCTAAATCTGGCCCGCTGACTGGAGAAGTTGCCCACCCCTGGTATAAGATATAAAGTTGTCAGGAAACTGAAGAGTATTTAAAACATTGTGGGAATTCATTATACAATATGACGTCACAAGTTAGATAAAATGGAAATAACAAAAACTTCAATATCTTGCGAAGGGAAAGAGATATGCATTAACTGTTTTAGAAAGCACAATGTCATTTCAAAAGTTCTGTTCATTGCAAACATAATTTAACTAGCAAAATTTCGTGTTACAGGCACTTTAAAGCAAAAGTTGCAAATTTGGTTGTAACAATATTTGGAAAACCAGTCAATATCAGTACCACTTGAAGGACAATATTCTCTACTTTCGAATTTCTTGAATATTCGGTCATGTAAACATTTTAGGAGAAGCCGACGTTTTTTTAGCAAAAGTCAGAGTTATATCAGCTGGAGTAGGAGTTAAATATTCTTTAGAAATTTCTAACAAACAGCGTTGTTCTTATGTTAATTTGAATACAATCAAACGGCATTGAGGCCCACCATATAAAAAATATACGAAAATAACGAGTGAAAACTTAATATTACCACGATGGGAGTAAAATCCATGCTGACTTTAATAAGTAAACTTTCTAACATAATAAATTAAGAATTGCTTGAATCTTTTGGCCCCATTTTTCATAAACTAGGATTGAAAAGTAAAACCAAACCTTGTTTTAAAACACTTCATGGTGACTAATTTCACAAAATTATTTTAAACCAATTTTACACTTTCAACTAAATCGGCAACTGTAGCACGAGAGTTGCATAACTTCATTATTTACTTGGTCTTTGTCAAAGCTTTGTTGATGCAAACACCCAAAGATATACCATTCACATCAGCGTCGATCTTAAGCTATTGCAAAAAAACGCCGAATATACTTATGCTAACTAAAGCCCTCAGTGAAATTTTGCTGAATGAACAATGCATAGCCATCACTGTAATCTATAAATGCTCTATTTTATAAAAAGATGTTGACTCTACACACAACATTGTAATCTGCGTTTTCTCCATCTTATTTGTACTCGAAAAACAATATGCCAGTGGGATAAATATTTATTCAAATTTAAATAGCAGATTAACCATATGAACCAAGAAATAAATTACACTTTTAAACAATCACTGCAAACTGCTGCAAACGATTCAGATGAATGGAACGACGACGGTTTTTAACAAAACGACAACGGTAAAATAAGGAACGACGACGGTTTGTAATATGAGAAATGTTGGAAACAAGAGAGAAATGTTGGAAACAGAAAAATTAACTTCCGTAAAAGTCATTTAATCGTTCAATATTTTCAAATATTAAATTTTTCCTTCTCCGTAATGACGCCGGTAGATCGTCACTCTCCATTTGCTATACATAATTCTACAGGAAGAAATTTTACGAAATTACTGATAACGTAAACAGAGAATCCAAGAATTTGACATAATCTCTTTCAGTAGTGACAATATATAACAACTTTCTAAAAAACAATAATGGCCTTGAGTCTTTGAGGAAATTATATGGATGTTTATGGACAAAAGATGGATGTTTCATTTTAATATAAATTGCAGCAAACTGAAAATCAAAACCATTTTCATTCACTAGCTAAGGAATTCTTTTGCATTCATGTTGCAAAGAACAAACGTTTATTGATCAAACAAGTTGATAACGTATTTTCAAAAGATTTCATTAAAGGATTTCTTATATGTAAAGGAAAATATAGCAGAAATGCTGGTTGTGTGTGGAGGGAAATATCATAGGAATAATTGTTGAAAAAGAAAAAAAAAATAGAATTACAGCGAACAAAACAAAGTGGATAAAAGCTCAACTAACGTCATCATGAACATACATCTTTTAAGTTATAAAACAACTGTTGTTCTTTTTAATTGACGTCAGAACGAGCAGCTTTCTTGGTAGGAGATAAATCTTCAGGAAGATCGAATTTATCATCATCATCACCACTGTCCAAGTCTCCTTCTTCATCGTTTGCACACGAGGTTGAGTTCGATGTTGATGTAGATGACGATCCCTCGCTGGTACCGTTTGTGGATGCATCAGAGACCTACGGATAAAGGGGATTTTTATGGATGATCAAACAGCATTCACAATCAATAATCACAAGCTTCCCCAAAGCTTCTCCAAAATTTGTAGTGTAGTTTTTTGAGATTTGTTATAACAGCTTTATTCAATACAATAAAAGCTATATCTTCAATGTACGTGTTCTCCTTTCTACGTCACATCCGGTTCAGAGTCATATACAGTACCGTTCGCGTATTTGTTAACATACGGTACGCGTATGATACGAGAACGATGCGCGTATCATACGAGAATGTTTTTCGTATCATATTGTATTAGTGTGCATAGTTTTAAGTAGTTCTTTAAAATTTTTAGCAATAATTTTGTTAATGTTATGTCATATCTGCTTGAGATAACATGTTTTACTAAATGTAATAGTAAAGTTTCGAGTGCAATTACGGACTGAAATACACGAAAGAGTTTTTAAAGTTAGCAGTGAAATAGCGGGAGTCCGTGTTAAGATATGAACATCAAAGGAAAAGACATAAACAACATAGCATTGCATGCATAATTAAGTAGATATGACACATGTCAGATTAAGTGATATTCGTACTTGTTATTGTAAATATCGTTGTTCGCTGATACTTAACTTTGTTATTTGTTCCACAATAAAATCATAAATATTTCACGTACAATTCGAATGTAATTGTCGAATCATGAATAATTTAACAGTCCGAAGGATAAGTATTTACAGTGCAATTACACACTTTAACGATGCACTAACACATTTTCACAGTGCATTTTATACATAAACTGCACTGCAATCAACCTATCACTGGGGCTTAAAATCTGTGGCTTGTGAGCTATACAGTAGCATGCATATTAAAACCGGCATAAACTTCGTTTTAAAGGTAAATCATTGATACAGGCAGTTGCAAGAGTAAATGCAAAGTTTTCGAAAATTTTATACTTATATTTGTGTACGTAGATAAAACCAAACTATATTGAAACCATATACGAGAATATTGAGAAAATGACACGCGTATGACACGAGAACGATACGCGTATGACACGAGAATGATACGCGTATGACACGAGAACGATACGCGTATGATACGAGAATGATACGCGTATGATACGAGAATGATACGCGTATGATACGAGAACGATACACGTATGATACAAGAATGATACGCGTATGATACGAGAATGATACGCGTATGACACGAGAACGATACGCGTATGATACGAGAATGATACGCGTATGACGAGAACGATACGCGTATGATACGAGAATGATACGCGTATGATACGAGAACGATACACGTATGATACGAGAACGATACGCGTATGATAAGAGAATGATACGCGTATGACACGAGAATGATACGCGTATGATACGAGAACGATACGCGTATGACACGAGAATGATACGCGTATGATACGAGAACGATACGCGTATGATACGAGAATGATACGCGTATGACACGAGAACGATACGCGTATGATACGAGAACGATACACGTATGATACGAGAACGATACGCGTATGATACGAGAATGATACGCGTATGATACGAGAATGATACACGTATGATAAGAGAATGATACGCGTATGATACGAGAATGATACGCGTATGATACGAGAACGATACGCGTATGATACGAGAATGATACGCGTATGATACGAGAATGATAAGCGTATGATACGAGAATGATACGCGTATGATACGAGAATGATACGCGTATGATACGAGAACGATACGCGTATGATACGAGAATGATACGCGTATGATACGAGAACGATACGCGTATGATACGAGAACGATACGCGTATGATACGAGAACGATACGCGTATGATACGAGAATGATACGCGTATGATACGAGAACGATACACGTATGATAAGAGAATGATACGCGTATGATACGAGAATGATACGCGTATGATACGAGAATGATAAGCGTATGATACGAGAATGATACGCGTATGATACGAGAATGATACGCGTATGATACGAGAATGATACGCGTATGATACGAGAATGATAAGCGTATGATACGAGAATGATACGCGTATGATACGAGAACGATACACGTATGATACGAGAACGATACGCGTATGATACGAGAATGATACGTGTATGATACGAGAACGATACACGTATGATAAGAGAATGATACGCGTATGATGCGAGAATGATACGCGTATGATACGAGAATGATAAGCGTATGATACGAGAATGATACGCGTATGATACGAGAATGATACGCGTATGATACGAGAACGATACACGTATGATACGAGAATGATACGCGTATGATACGAGAATGATACGCGTATGACACGAGAACGATACGCGTATGATACGAGAATGATACGCGTATGACACGAGAACGATACGCGTATGATAAGAGAATGATATGCGTATGATACGAGAACGATACGCGTATGACACGAGAATGATACGCGTATGATACGAGAACGATACGCGTATGATAAGAGAATGATACGCGTATGACACGAGAATGATACGCGTATGATACGAGAACGATACGCGTATGATACGAGAATGATACGCGTATGACACGAGAACGATACGCGTATGATACGAGAACGATACACGTATGATACGAGAACGATACGCGTATGATACGAGAATGATACGCGTATGATACGAGAATGATACGTATGATAAGAGAATGATACGCGTATGATACGAGAATGATACGCGTATGATACGAGAACGATACACGTATGATAAGAGAATGATACGCGTATGATACGAGAATGATACGCGTATGATACGAGAATGATAAGCGTATGATACGAGAATGATACGCGTATGATACGAGAATGATACGCGTATGATACGAGAATGATAAGCGTATGATACGAGAATGATACGCGTATGATACGAGAATGATACGCGTATGATACGAGAATGATAAGCGTATGATACGAGAATGATACGCGTATAATACGAGAGCGATACGCGTATGATACGAGAATGATAGGGTATCATACGCAATATTATGTTAACAAATACGCGAGCGGTACTGTACTTTGGGCAACAAAACCCATGAAGATAAAATTTTCTTCCCATCAAATATGTTGCAAATGTTCTTTAGTTTGATGTAACTATCTGTAGAACTTATTTCCCTGACTCTTTACGTAACTATCATCTTACCTGGCATGCAGATTACATGGCTACGAATGACTTCGACGTTTACATCAAGTATAGTCAATGGCTTCGAGCTTAAATCTGTGAACATCGTGAATGCATTTACACTGCTCGTCCGCGGGCTCAGCTCCGTATTCAAGTCCTTGCTACTTTGCCGTCTGTGCCTTGTATCGAATACCATTATGTACCTCCATGGTCTGCGTTCAAACCCTTTGCCTGCTTGGCCTCTCACAATACAGTTCAAAAAAAGAAACCTGTTCTTCATTTGTTTCGACTTTCGTTCATTCCAGTTCGAAGCCCATATGCAATCGTATTCGCTTTTAGTCAGCGGCAACGACATCACCTTTTTGGAATCGTAATACTTCAAGATGATTTCGCCTGGCGATGTGAGGTTCAAGTGAAAATAAAATTCCCCTTTGTGGAGGTTGATGTCGAGCTGCGAGAGATGAATCACAGATGTGATACGAGAATGATACGCGTATGACACGAGAACGATACGCGTATGATAAGAGAATGATATGCGTATGATACGAGAACGATACGCGTATGACACGAGAATGATACGCGTATGATACGAGAACGATACGCGTATGATAAGAGAATGATACGCGTATGACACGAGAACGATACGCGTATGATACGAGAACGATACACGTATGATACGAGAACGATACGCGTATGATACGAGAATGATACGCGTATGATACGAGAATGATACACGTATGATAAGAGAATGATACGCGTATGATACGAGAATGATACGCGTATGATACGAGAACGATACACGTATGATAAGAGAATGATACGCGTATGATACGAGAATGATACGCGTATGATACGAGAATGATAAGCGTATGATACGAGAATGATACGCGTATGATACGAGAATGATACGCGTATGATACGAGAATGATAAGCGTATGATACGAGAATGATACGCGTATGATACGAGAATGATACGCGTATGATACGAGAATGATAAGCGTATGATACGAGAATGATACGCGTATAATACGAGAGCGATACGCGTATGATACGAGAATGATAGGGGTATCATACGCAATATTATGTTAACAAATACGCGAGCGGTACTGTACTTTTGGGCAACAAAAACCCATGAAGATAAAATTTTCTTCCCATCAAATATGTTGCAAATGTTCTTTAGTTTGATGTAACTATCTGTAGAACTTATTTCCCTGACTCTTTACGTAACTATCATCTTACCTGGCATGCAGATTACATGGCTACGAATGACTTCGACGTTTACATCAAGTATAGTCAATGGCTTCGAGCTTAAATCTGTGAACATCGTGAATGCATTTACACTGCTCGTCCGCGGGCTCAGCTCCGTATTCAAGTCCTTGCTACTTTGCCGTCTGTGCCTTGTATCGAATACCATTATGTACCTCCATGGTCTGCGTTCAAACCCTTTGCCTGCTTGGCCTCTCACAATACAGTTCAAAAAAAGAAACCTGTTCTTCATTTGTTTCGACTTTCGTTCATTCCAGTTCGAAGCCCATATGCAATCGTATTCGCTTTTAGTCAGCGGCAACGACATCACCTTTTTGGAATCGTAATACTTCAAGATGATTTCGCCTGGCGATGTGAGGTTCAAGTGAAAATAAAATTCCCCTTTGTGGAGGTTGATGTCGAGCTGCGAGAGATGAATCACAGATGTGACAAATCTCTCGTAACATGGTAGCCATTTTTCCTCGTTCATTCCAGAATTTGAGAAAAATGTCTGAAACATGGAGAACGAAGCAATGTTATTGATTTCAAGCAATTTCCGTAAAATTGAGACTTTCCCGGTTGGTCACACTGCAGGGAGCGTGGAAGATTGATAATTGACGCGGGGAAGGGTCACATTGATTTCAACGGAAACTAAGAAAGTAGTACATGAATATCGTCACGTTACTAACTTTTATAGCAAAATCATTTTTGGGAGTTTTGAGAAAAATAGGAAATAATTAATATAACTTTAAAAAAGTCAAACGCTTCAATATTGAACATTCATATATTGAACATTTATTGAGTCGTTTTTTTGATTTTGTCAATTGACTTCAACAATAAATATTGAACACAACAACAGGAAAAATAATAATTCTTCTAAAACGCAAAAATCCAAAATCCACCTTCCCCTCCCCTCAACTATTAATCTTCCGCGGTCCCTGACACGTATGAAAGACCTATCATAATCAATTAATCCTATGGCATGGAATGTACATATTCACGATAGTGTTGTATGGGAGGGGTGGATGTGCTGTAGTAAGTATTAGATTTCGATGGCTCCATGTTGCTGTTTAATGTCAGACTGTTTTTTTCAAATGATTTAACTTGATATTGTGACAGTAAGATTTTTCTGGAAAGTGCACTCCATTAAACTCTTATCACAACTGCTTTGGCTTAATTATTTGGTCTATTAATATTTGTAGGAAAATTGGTACCCATCCCGCACCCCTTTAACAAAGAATATGAAAGGTGCACACCCCGACAACACCCCTCCTCCCCCTAAATCCATCCCTGCTATATGTACGACATAGACAGTAACCAGGTCCGCTTATTCACTCATGTTCTGTATTTTTCGACGTTCACTCATTTCAAAAACAATAAATGTTCAAAGAAAATAAAACAAACAAAGTTCTCGAATTTAAAAAGAGCGACTACGTCACAGGCTATCGCACTACGTCACTGACGACGTCACTTGCTACCACGCTACGTCATTGCAGGTAAATGGTTTGAGATAGTGAGATTATTCTGAAAACACGCGTTAGAATTCGGACATGAGAGAGAACGTTAATACAATGCAGAAGTGATCAAATACTTTTCATGGAATTGAATGTTCCAATGACATTTTTTAAAAAAGGCAAAATGCTCATGAACATAGATCAAAACTGGATTAAAATTGAATATGTATGACTAGTTTATAATTTACGAAGATATTGTAAACTCCGATCAAAATTGGAAAAAAATGAAGAATGGACTGTAGTTTAATAGACATAATGTAGTTTATAGTTTGTAGATAAGACTTAGTCTATTTCATGAAATAAGGATATTGTAAAACATATATTGAGGAACAAAATACAGAAACCATTCTTTTACAAATGATAAACAACAACAACAGTTGGGTCCAGGCCCTTGATTAACAACTATCACATAATGCTCTAGTTTACAGATATAAACCTGGATCAAAACAGCATTAAAATTGAATATGTACTCTGGTTTAATAAATCTAGTCCTTATTTTACAGAGATAAACTAAGATCAATTAATAGACCTATGCAGATGGTTCAAAGTTTACAAAGATAAACATGCTATTTCAACATTTATATAGTATTTGAAATACCATAAGTTTAATATAACTTATTTATTTTACAATTTGTGAAGCTCTGATATTTCCATTATAGAATAAAACTATGAACTATTATTTCGTAATTCATATGTATGATATATTTAAGTTCACCTGAATTAAAGATGACTTGAAATTAAGTCAAAACATGTTTATGTTGAAAAATTTGGTCGTTTACTTCAAATGCGCTATTAATCTTGTGCTATTGACATCATATGGAAATAACAATATAGCCTACAGCCAAGAGAGACATGTTTATGTTCACAAACCTCAGCTGATGTTCGTAGTTCTAGAAGTAATGAGCAAATAGGCCTCAAAAACTCATTATCAAAGAGCTCAGAATGGCCACCATAAGCCTCTTCACAAATCTTCTCGAGTTCATTAAAATGATCCTTGAACATGGAACCCTCGAGAAAGAGCTTCCATTGTTCATCCTTTTGTGTCTACAAGATCAAAAAATAGTATTTTTAAGTACTCTATTTTATTTTGATTAAATAATATCTAAGCTTAAAGTTGTGAGATTTCATCATGCACAAAGGCTTGCTACTATAATGGTGATGTGTTTATTTATACACAGAAATGGCAATGAAAAAACGGGATTAAATATTTTAGCAAAAGTTCGTTCTTTCACTGATATCAAAAACTTATTTTTAAAGTAGAGATTAATGTCCTTAGAAATTGCCAAGAATGCCAGTCTGGCTGGCTGCTAAGCCTTGAAGGATGCAAACATGATCTGCCTACAGGTTAAATGTAAAGTATTTCTTGACAAATTGGTTTATTTTGGATCACTTAAAATAGTTTGAAACATATTGGAATATAATGGATAATGTATGTAGTAATCACCTACAATTTGCGTTCTAATCATTCAGGGAGTATGTAACATAAATTACTTTATTTCTGTGTTATTTGAACATTCTGATAACTTTGTTTACTAAAAGATTATGTTCCTCGATAATTAGGACATTGTATGTCAACAAGGATGAAGCAGTTTGACTAAGGACACAGAATAGATACATACAGAACGCCACTCGATGTCGGAACCTTTGATGTTCGTGTCCCCAGCATCCGGGCAACTTTACACGGCGGCCATGTTTCCAGCCAGATAAATGCAGCCAGATCGCAATATAATATATAGTTCTACGGATGGGTTTTGGCAAATAAACCCAAATATTTCTATAGATTGGCCATTTTTTAAATATTTTTTTGTGTGGATACAGTTAACACATCAAGCTCTCAACAATTTATCATTAATTCGACGTCCGTTTAGATAAATGAAGGTTTATTCGGAATATTTACAAAGTAGATATGTATCTGACGAGATGCGTACTCGGTATATGGTTTGTCGTCAGTTTTAATTTTATCATATAAGAATTCTGCAGAGAACCTTGAAGACATTTGTTCTAACATTTGAAATCTCGGTCGTGGCTGAAACAAGCGACAAATCAAATTATCCTCCAGTTAAGTTTATATATTGCAAACAACGTTTGGCAGGACATTCGAATCACCAAAATTGTCTACCCAGGTGTTTTAAACTATCAGAAGCGATGCTGCATGGCCACTATGAAAGTCATCTGATGCCAAAATATTTTGTATTCATCACAGTTGTGACTTGTGAAGCTTGAATGACTTTTTGAGCAAGTTGGAACATAAGCAGCAGCATGTTGGCCTCCATCAATAAAGTGCTTGAATAGCAATTTGTAAAACATATACTGCCATATGGTCCACATGACTTAACTTTGTTATTTCTGCCTTTTTAAATTCAATCAGGAGATTATTTATATATTTGACATGGATGCTTATTGATGATGTGAGAAGTGAACATAAAAAAGCTTTCTGAATGCTTTTGTGAATTGGATTGGTGTTGGCTTGGCACAGTTTCCCCCTGTCAAATGTTTTAAAAAAGTTTTCTGGTGTATCTGTGTTTCACCTTTTGGTAAACATTTTACTGTGTAAAGTATTACGATTTAAATAATGGCATTAAGAGTAACTATAACTGGTTTTTGTCAGAATAAGTTCTGTTTGTGACATGATTACTTACAATAAAAATTTTAATTTACAGAATGAAGTTTATGGATTTTAGCAAAAATTAAATTTTCGAGCCCTTTGTCGCAATAATTTCTCTCTGCTGGTTGATCAATGCGGTGAATCAAACATAATTCTAATCATTTTTCACATACAATTGTTGGTCACAACTCACAAGTGAAGTTTAACCAGAGGTAAGCTGTAGGAGCTTGACAATACGTTTGACATAATGGTAAAGTTGTTAATTTAATTGTAACAATTTATCAATAACTTCATTCTTTAAAAAATTGTAATTTCATATATTGTTTATTAAAAATAAGACAACAAAAAACATCTTTATTTGTAAGTTAATACAAATTTGACAGACATGATAGCCACAGGAACTCAATATACAATTACAAATAAAACTTTCAATTACAATTATGCAGACAAGCTACATTGCAAATAAAAAGCCCCGATTCAAGAATCAAATATAAATTAGTTTAGTCCAAATTTTATACCAATAACGTCTTCATCTGAAGAACGTTCTTTACGCACAGTAGGTCGTTTTATCGCTTCTATCAAATCCGTTGACCATTCTAATAGGAAACTCTTTACTAGAAAATAAAGAAATGGAATCACACTAAATATATTTATTACTTTTGTCCTAAATTATAAATTCTTAGGGCAACTGCCGTTCAATATAAGAGACGTTCTAAACATGGATCTCGCATACAATTCAAGGCAAGAAACTATAAAAGCCGTAAAATTATATTTGACGAACGTATTTTACAACAAAACTGTTTCTCACCTCATATGCTTGGTATCCTATCCGATGGCATTAAAAATTTTGTCCATAAGTGAATTTAAATTCGTCAAATTTTCGAAAAACAACTCTTCATAATATTAATCTATATACATTCTGGCCAGTTTATCTGGCTGGAGTAATGGCGGACGCAAAAGATGCGCACTAAAGAACTGGGTACAAGTAGGGGACAGATTTTTCGCTGAGTGGCGCTTCTGTATGTATCTATTCTGTGCTAAGGATTTGCGGTAAAAATTGCGTTATCTCGAAGGAAATGATTCGGTCAACAACAATGGCAGTCAAACTCAAAACAGAGTAGCTATGAACGCGATTTGGAATCGATTTTAAGACATCTTACCTCTATAGACATCCTAAAGTTTCTCAAAGACAAGTGGCTTGCCGTATATCTTCCGATATTGGTAGATTTTGGATTCAAAATACTGCATTACAAAGCATTTTGTGAAAAGTTCGATTCACTGGCCATGAGAGCCGGCCATAATTGGAAGTCAATATGACGGAGACCGCAAAGGTATGTGGGTAATCTCGTCAAGTGAGGAGACTTCTGTAAAAGGCTAGCAATCCTTCCTTTT